GGGGGGGGGGCATCTGGGAGTATTCTCCCCCAGAAAATTTTTGTATTTTTCCACCCCTAGAACTGAAATGTAAGAATTTTCTGAAACACATTTTTGGATATACAGCGTTACATTGTGCATTGATAGACTGAATCTGATCAGTTAAGTGTACTTGCATGGTATGTTTATGTAAATACCACAACTGGGTCACTCAGGGGGTAGAAAGCTTGTTAAACTTAGTGGGCCAGACTCCCACGATCGCGAGGCGCTACCATGGTTGGCACTGAGCAGGGAAATTTTGAACATTTTGAGTCTCTAGATCATTGGAAATAGCATTTTCAGAGTCTTCTTTTTTGCTGTTTGTGATTATATAAAACTTTTTTGATCCCCCCTATTTATAAGGGTAAAACTTGGTTTGCCCCCCCCCTCCCATTTCCCAACCCCCTCCCCCCCCCATAAATAATGACCACTCCCTTATACTGTCTGCTGAGGCCAACTGTATCCATAGGGTACAGGTTGACTAGTATAAAGGAATCATCCAGAATAATATTTTCAAAAGGGCAACCACTCCCCCAGTATGGTATATGATTTGTGCTGTGTAATGACCCATATAAAATATGCAAAATATCAAGTGAATAAATTTGTGTGTCACAGCTACTGAATGCATAATGTAGTTAACTGTATTGTGATTTTTGCAAGTATGATCATGCACATAAACAAATAACTCACCCTGGCTATTACTAGTCATGAATCCCATAGAATGAGAATGGTAAGAGAAGAGGCAGACATTAATTCACAAATCACCATAAATAGTGAGAGGTCAGTGAATGTAGGGTGTCAAGATATTTGCACTGTTTTGTTGCTGCAAATTTCATTCCTCAAACTTTTTTGGCTCATGCTGGTTAGAAAGTTTGCATAGTTGGCAAAACATTGTTACAGATCCATAAACATTGTTACAGGACAACATAATTAATACATGATCATGGACTTACAAGAGGGTCTAGATGGGTGGAGGGAGGGGGTGGGGGTCAGTAAACGGTAAAAATTTTGGTATTTTAATTTAATTTAACGGTAACAAAAAGTGACATTTTGGTATTTAACGGTAAATCTTTGAAAAGTGTTCTGAAACGATAAACAATATTTTTTTCCTTACGATTCACGATTAAACGAAATTGAGTGAATCGCGACTCACGATATACCCCATCAACACCCTCTTACAAGCTACGTAGTCTATATGAACATTTGATGTTGTCTAGCATTTGACTAAGTTTTAGTCATCTAAAACTTGATCGAATGATGGTCGGAATTAAACCATACTACATTAGTTTTAAAGTGGGATGGCCCCTCAACCTTAAATAAATAATATCCGGTTACCAGATAATGAGATTATCAGCTGGATACCAGATATAAGTTTTGCCTGGTATATTATATTACTGATTTACTGTGATTCAAAGAAACAACTGTAGATCATGGAAAAAGCTGCACTCACTGTTTGTATGTCAATAAACATACACTGTAAAGTCTAAACACAAAGATGCATCTGGTTGTATTTCTGTTGCCATGCTTATGTTTCTTTATGTAATGTGCGTCAGAAATTGGGCTTTTAAATAATAACCTAGATTCTTCTGTACTACTAGGTAGCCTAACATTCTTCATTATATTGTAGTATGTTCTTTTTCAATGCCGTCGGAAGCTGGAGGGAGCCCTCCCCCAATAATTTCCATTTGTATAAGAAAAACACACAAAACTCAAAAGAACTAGAAAAGTGCAAAAGCAATTCAGATTTAGGGGCTGATTACATGGAGGCGAGTTGAAAACTGCATATAATGAAAGACTAATGAGCCTAAGCCTTTGATCTCATGCACTTTTCAACTCGCTTAGCCGGGTATAAACTCGCCTCCATATAATGAGGGCCTTACTTCCGACGGCCTTGTTTTTATATTATAAAAAAACATAACATTTTTTCAACTTAAAAGTTTTTACACATATTTATGAAATAATTAAAAACCCATTAATCCATTTATACATTGACGATATTTAACAACTATTTATAATCGCACAAAACCTTACTTACAATAACTGTCTCGGTTTGTAAAAACACTTTTTCTTCGATGAACCTTTGAAAAACTTCAAAAAAGGTTCAACTATGTCTGAACCGGAGCGTAGAGAAGAGAGCCTGGGTACGAGGTTGGTGCTGAACAGTGAACAACACAGGTGAACAATAAAAAAGGGAGCGCGAGGCCTGGCGCTACACAGTAACCCTAACCACGCTCTGCAGCGCGTTTCCTCGCCCGTGTTTTATTACGCCCTGCCCTAACTTATCGTACTTATCTTAGGCGCTCTTACATGGCTCCCCAAAATGTGAAACATTTTCTAACACAACGTTAATATGAACCTAAACTACGTGTCCGTGTATATTACGTGTCCGATAATGAATTAATTAAGACTAATGGAATGTATCGTGGCTCCTCGTCGGGGAGTCCCGGTCTCTATAGTCTACTCTATTTCAGTTTCCAAAATAATAGTACGAGTCTGTCTATCGGTCTCTCTAACGTTGATCCACTAGCCATTCTCAAATGTACGGATCTGACTAAACCTTGTTCATCAGCTTTAGTATACTCACGACTCTGCCTATAGACCACTGATTTCTTGCGTGATCATTATCCTTCAGTAAAACCACATCGCCCTCTTCAAAATTTCGCTTTTCTTTATTCCACTTTTGCCTTGGCTGCAATCTCTGTGTATAGGTACTCATTCTTCCATCGCTTCCAGAATTCGTTCGTTCGGTGCTGGACTCGTCTCCATTGTCGTCTACAGTATAGATCGGTACGTTGAAACTTTCCAGGGGGTGGTAATATAACTCTACTTTCCCGTTAAGAGTATTGACTTGCTGCTGGTGGATTTCTTCTCCAGTCGATGTTGTGTTTTAACAAATCATCCATTTCTTTATATGCACGCTTTAGTTCGTTGTCCGCACCAACAAAGTTGGTCCCTTCATGGTTGCTACGAATCTCTCGAGGAGGTCCTTTTCGCGCGATAAATCTTCTTAAGGCGTGTAGAAACGAATCTACATCCAACGAATCTGAAACTTCGATGTGTAGAGCACGACTTGCTAAACACGTTAAAAGAGATCCGTGCCGTTTAACCTCTTTACATCGCTGCTTCACCAACCATGGCCCGAAGTAGTCTACGACACGATAGGTGAATGGTGGAGCTGGTTTCAGACGTGACTCGAGGAAATTCGCCATCTTTTGTTCACCAACGGACCTACGGAGATGTCAACATCTAACACACTTAGCTATAACCGATCGAACAGTCGCTTTTCCGTTAACTACCCAATAGCCGTTTGCACGAATTTCATTCAGGGTGATTCCTCTGTCAAATGACCTTTCCTTGGAAGGATGATATTGATAGGATGCTTAATCAATAAGTCCCAATGGATCATAAACAGAACTTGTTGTTGAAAGATTCCTCTCCTTCGTATGTCTTTCAACTCTATTCTGAACTTAAGGCTATCTGATTCTACACACCACTGAACGCCTAATGCTCGTTCGACTGGTCATCTATTTTGGCCAAGCTCAATTTTCTGTGCTCGATTCTTCAAGGGAATTGATTGGTTTACTTCGACGCTATTGCTTATGAACTTGGTGAGTTTGAAGCCACCCTTCTGGCACACTCCTTTCAAGCCTTTTACTAGGCTAACAGCTTCATCTGCGGTTGGGACCGACTTTAAACTATCGTCCACATAGAAGTTTCGACGCGGGGTATCTGCTGCTTCAGCACCAAATTCCTCTTCATAATCATCAGCTGTACGTTTGAGTGCGTAAATTCGAATATCCGGGGGATGACGCGGTAAAAGTCTCCATTGAAATCTTGATCATCTTCTTTCACCTTCACTTGATAGAACATCTGTTCTATATCTGCCATGAATGCTATCGTTTCCTGCCTGAATCGTGCGAGAACTCCGATGAGCTTATTCGTGAGGTCGGGTCCTTGCAGTAGATGGCAGTTGAAGGATTCCCCCAGATAACGCGATCAACAGTCAAAGCCAGCTCTAATCTTTCCTGGTTTATTTGGGTGGTACACACCGTGGTGGGGTTTGTACCATACTCTTCCGTTCGTTTCGTTTAATCTTTCGTGCATAACCTTTACCAATAATTCCATCCATAAAACTTATATAATCCGTGCGATACTGTTCATTATTCCGAAGTCTCTTTCTTAGACCACCAAGGCGTTGTTCAGCTGCAGGTAGTTTGTTTGGCAATTAATTGGACATCATCGTTCTTAAAGGGCAATGACATTTCATGATGCAAGACCTTGCAATGGCGTATTCCTTCTTTGGCTCTCTCCAGGAATTTGAGATCGTCGTGAGATAAGACCTTTCCGCGCTATCTCTCAGCGAATTCTATGTCGAACATCTTTTTCACAGCGTTGTAAGAAATAATGTCTTTAACATCTCTCTGGATGATAACACATGCCTTTGTACGGCTGTCAAAACTGCTTGTGCTTACGACAATTCCATTACAGGATACTTACTTACTAGTGTCCTGATTCACTGGGCCATTGACGTGTCATCCTAACAATGATATAACTAGTCGTCATTGCTATGAATACCATCTCGTGGTCGGAGAGTACTTGGGTAGTTTAAGCCAATGAGAATTCCTACTTCGATATTATCCATGTAGGCTGGAATTCGCTTTGCTACCTCCTGAGTTGCTCTGGTTAGGAATTTGTTGCCGTGCGTAAGTCCTGGGAAGCTGAACACTAACGTGACTGTATTGGAAATATTCTGCAACTAAACCTTCGACAGCTTTATTTTCTACTTCCTTTGTGCCATGCATGCATGGTCGTTAATCGAAGCTTGGTATTACTTCCCACCACTCCTAGTTTTCCCAAGGTTTCTTGCTTATTAATGAAGGTGGCCTCACTGGCATTGTCGAGTAGGGCGTAAACTGCTACTTTCTCGTTTGGGTTGTTCTACACTGGAACTATGCCCATACTGGAACTATGCCCATACTGGAACTATTCCCATGTTGACTGGTGCATCATCACCAGCTTCAGTGATGTCACAAAATGTTCCACGAGAGTTGTTAACTTGATTCTCTGGGGGTTTGTTTTCTTGATCAGCTCTGCCGGGGTCCTTAGTTTCCTTCTCTTTATCAAGCTTACTTGGTGGTTTCCAGTGGGGATCATGCAGTGCATGATGCTTCCTACATATCTGACATAACTTCTTTTGCTTGCAAAACGTAGCTATACATGTATGTCCTCGATTGTATTATCCATAACACAAACCTTTGGTCTTTCCTTTCTTTGAGATAGCGATCGTTTCTTGAATTCAAAGCATTGGTCTAGTCATGCATCTTATGACACACAAGACATGGGGGCATAGTTTTTAATTGTTTGTTCTGCTCTTTCAGAAATGTACCAAAGTTTGATCCCTTACTTCTGTGATCTCGTCTTGTGGCTTGTGAACTCTCCTTAGTTACCGGCTCTTCCGAATAGTCAGGATCAGTAGCTAGATCAGCTTGCTTAGTCACAAGCTGCACAAAATCTTCAAAACCAGCCAATCTTCCTTTGGCAACTCTAATAGCGTTAGCCCTTTCACACCACTTGCTGCGAAGGTAGCTCGGTTGTTTCTCCCATAATTGGTGCATAACGTGTGCTGTATTTAGGTCGCCCATGTAGTCCATTCCGGTCATGGCTGTCTTTGCTTGCTAGAACACAATCGCAAACTCTTGCAACTTTCCTCCTTCGTTTGGCATAATTTGGTGACATAAGCATTTGCTATTTTGAAGGAATCTCCGAAATATATTTTCAGAAGTGCTCTTGCTTCGAGATATGATGATTCGGTTTTACTTTACAGACAGCCTTTGATGACTTAATTCCTTAGCCTTTGATGACTTTCTTAGCCTTCGCTGTAGTATATTGCTCCAGATAGTAAAGTAGTTCTATGGGGTCGCTAACCTTAGACTCTACTAATGTATCAAATGCCATGATAAATGCAGGATATTCCATTACATCACCAGAAAATGTTGGGGAACCGGTTAATTATGTCTTGGGAGGGTACTTTTTTGTTGATGGGTTGCCATAATTTTAGTCAGTTCAGTTTGTTGTTGCTGTATCTTTAGGAACTGCTCATATGGGTTGATGTCGACATCTGCGTTGGGTGTTTGGGAACATCATGGGTTTGTGGATGGTTTATTGCCTAATCATGCTTATGCTGAATTAACTTGGGGTTTCCTATCAGTGTCCGTATTTAACTGCGGCGCTTCATGTGGGGATGTATTTGGGGCTGGCAGTGGTGTCGGGGTTTCAATGTTTGGAACAGGGGAATTATCTTGGCTATTTGCCTTGGTTTGTCATTACTATCATCCACTTTAACATTGTCTATGACAGAATGTGAGGGCTCTTGTCCAATGTTTAAATCGCTAGATTCAAAGGGTACTGCATTGGGACTTACAGTAACGATGTTGTTGTTTCCATATTGTTAGTACAGTTATTCAATTCCTGCTCATATACTTGTTCTTCTACTCTAACTTCAGCGATTTGCTGTTCAAACTCTAGTTCTTCAGCTGCTATTCTTAGCGAGTTGTTTTCTTTTCAAAAGGGCAGCCTTTACTTCTAATGCTGCAGATTTGGCTCTTGTTGCAGCTAGCTTTGCCCTTGCGGAGGTGGAAGATGCCACAGATGACTTAGATTTACGAGAGATGCTTGATGTTCCGACTTATTAAACCTAATTTCGTATTGTGGCTTAACCTTAGCAACAATGAAGTATTCAATAATTTAATTTCTTTTTAAAATCAAACGCCTTTCTATCCTGTGGGGTTGATTATACCTGGAGAGTTTTCAGCCCGGGCTGAGCCAAAATTTCAGTTCAAACCGGGGCATATAATCTCAGCATGGGCTGAAACGATCAAGTTTCTCCGCGTCTTCGAATAATTTAAAATGTTATTTGTGTGTAATGCCACATAAAGCCACTTAAAAGTTTTCTCAACCCAGCTAGGTTGAAATTTAAGTAGTATAGATAGCTTCGAATCGATTACATTCAGCTCAGCCAACCGGGTTGAATTTTCAGTCTACAATAGGTAGCTTCAACTAACTTGAAGTACGCAATGTTGTAAAACTGAAGGGAACTACTGTACCTTAAAATTGTATAAACCACTGGCACTGACGAAATATTTTCTAATACAGATTGCCCGGCGCCAGCGCTCTAGTATGGAATGTCGGGTTTGTGAAGCCCCATTTACACGAATTTTTTTGCCGAATATTTGTGCTCGTGTGAACAGTTCCAGTGTTTCTTTGCCTTTTATACTTTTGGTCACCGGCTTGGTGAGAATGAGGTACTTTTTTAAAAATCGATATCGGGCATGTCATCGCGGAGAATCGCAACTAAGAAATAGTTATCTCTCTTTCTTACATTCCTGTCTAGCCATTCTCTGTTTTTGGTATTTTAGAGTTCCATAAACTTTCTCGAACCTTTTAAAGCGCTTCAAGAAGCTGAGAAATGCTGTTGTCTGACCAGGAAATTGTACGCTTAGCTCTTTGTACGTTGTTATGCCATCCTGGCATTTCAGCTTTTGATCAAATGCATTTGTCACAGTAAATTTGTCACAAATTTCTCATCCACACAGCCAAAATAGGTTTGACATATAAAATTTGTTAAAGAAAACTTGGTCGTGAAAATGGGGTTTATGCTCCTGCGGCCAAAGGCTTGGTACGAGTATAGCCTTGGATGAGAGAAGAGAGTGCATGATAGTTGGCAGTCACGCGACCTTGGTTACCTGTTTATTAATGCTTTCCCAAAACTATCAAAATACGTAAGTTAAAATATGGTTGAAACACTCATCAAACCTTTTATTTTATTAATCAGAACTTGAAATGCCCCAGTATAACAATTTGTGATTGACAACTCTTATCAAGTCTCATGCATCCTCGCCTGATCCGGATTAAGAATGCATCCGGGTGCTTAATAGATGATCTAAGTCAGTACACGACTACAAAAATGTTTTCTTTCTACAGGTTCTACCCTCATTCGCATTCTTGATCCTTCGTCTGATAATCACGCTGTTTTGTGTCGCCTGTATCATATGGAGTGGTTCTGATGACAGTAACGGCGAGACGAAATGGTTCATCTATCTTACCAACTGGTCATTCGCCATGCTCAATATAGCATTCATACTGCTCACAGTTCTGTCTATATCTAAAGCTTATCGAGTGCATCGCAATAAACCTCCAGCCGACGACTACGGTACGTTTGAGACATCAGTTGAAGCAGCTCGCAAGCAGGGAACTGAAATAGAATTACCATCCAGAGAGCACAAAGAGATCATAATTCTACCACCAACACCTTGTGAATGGTACCACCAAGTCACATGGCTCATCTATAATATAGCATTTTGCGCTGCTATCATTGTAACAGTTGCGTATTGGTTATTTCAGGCAGAAAATGTGAAATTCCTTGATGTTGTTACACATGCATTTAACACTGTTTTTGTTCTTATTGAGCTCATACTTGGTTGTGTACCAATACGGTTACTGCACTGCCTATATACAGTTATCTATTTAACTCTGTATGTGATATTCAGTGTTATTTATTGGCAAGCAGATGGGTTGAATGCAAGGGGAAAACCGTATATTTACAAGATATTAGATTATGATGACAAAAACCCTGGTGTAATCACTGCTCTAATTCTGGCTTTGGTCGTCGTAGCACCTCCGTTGATTCAACTGGCTATGCTTGGACTTTACAAGCTACGGTGTCGTTGGTTTGGACTCCACTAAATCTGGAAACATGTCCTTTTATATAACCGAATGGCGGCTTCTAATGTGATAATTTGCTGGTGGTCAGATTCATTATTCAGACCGTTCAAACGAGATGGGACAAATTTGGAATCATGAGCAAATTCATCTGTTTCCATTTGTTCGCACGGGCATTTGCGCTGTTGTACTCGACTTCGTGTGGTACATGTGTCCGCTGTATGAACCTATGAACTCGAAAGGTACAATAGTAACACCGCGGTCAAACGTCTGCGTATCGATTGTTTGTATTCGAAAAACTGGAAATATCGAAAAAGTATTATCTTCATGAAACTCTAGCAAAAAGTGTAAAGAGTGTATTCCTGAGCTTATATCTTATATGTTATATTTTGGCACCTGACATTTTCCCACCATTTTCATAGACTCGCCCATGCCCCTTGACCGCGGTGTTCGCAATAGTTTGAGTAAGGGCCTGTTCATATGGGGAAAAGGTTTCCCGGTTAGCGAGAAAACTTTTCGACAAGTTTACAAGCGAGATCTCGCCTTGGTATGAAAATAATATGAAAAGTTACGCTGCGTTCATATGAGACAAAACGTTTTCCTGTGTACCGAGATCTCGCTTGTTGACAGGCGAGATCTCGGTGACCGGGATAATGTTTTTCCCATATGAACACAACTTTCCCTCTTAGCGGGATAACTTTCTGTCGTGTCAGCAACTTTTTAATTCAATTGATGTTCAGTGCCACGTCACAGCCGAAAACTTTACCCGGTAAGCGGGATAAAGTTTCTCCATATGAACAGAACAAAAGTATTTGGCTAGTCGAAACGTTTTCTCGTTAACCGGGATAACTTTTTCCCATATGAACAGGCCCTAAGTTTGAGTAGGATTCGGAATTTATCCGCTTCCGTGTGAACGGAGCTTTATGCCAGTGAAATAAAAATACCGTATTTACTCGTTTAAGCGCCGCGGGGCTCTTTAAATTTTTAGTGTTACGGATGCGGCGCAATCTCGTTCCTAGAGCATGCCTGTCAGTCAGTCAGTCAAATCTTTATTTAAGCACAGTAGCTTCATCAGGTTTACAAAAAATAGTTATCTACATTAATAAGTTTAAAAATTTTTTTTCAAGCCTATATGTTACATTAATATTTATACCTGTTTTCCATGAATGCCGTGTCTATCGAATATGATGTTTCAACAATTGTCGAAATTCAGTAAGAGATTCCGCTTGTTTTATATTGCTAAGTAAGGTTCCATACCACTGCACCACTATAGCTAAAGCTATTTTTTAAGATAATTGGTGCGGGGTAAAGGAGCAGCAAGTTTGTTTACGGAGTCTCGAAGTATATAAGGAGTTACATTATTGCGATTAGTAAATTTAGAACATAGATATTCCGGGTGCAAGGTTATTTAAAGATTTGAAAACCATCAATGCTTTTTGAAATTGGCGTTGTTGGTTTAGATCATCCCACCCTAGCTTTTCCAATAAGCCATTGGCATCGGCGTCAAAGTTGGAAAAGGTCAACACCCGCATTGCACGGTTTTGAAGTTTTTGAAGTTTGTTAGATAACGTTTTCCCACAATTTCCCACACGACATTACATTAATCAAAATGTGGTTGTATTAGAGCTTGGTAAATAACATGCAATGTTTCCAATGAAACAAATGACCTTAACTGCTTAATAGCACCGATGCCAGAAGCAATTCGTTTTGTCATTTTATTGATATGACTACTCCAAGTAAGATTTTCGTCTAATAAGACACCAAGTGATTTTGTTGTCGAAACTCGGTCTAAAGGAATTCCATTTATTTCAAAATAAGGATTGTCAGAAGAGTACTTAAAAGTTGTCTCGACCCAATTAACATGTACTCAGTTTTAGTCATTTAAAGTAAGTTTATTTGTTTATTAACCATTCATTATTAATGTTTTCCAAGTCTTCGTTAAGATGAAATGGAATAGTGTTTATATCGCTACCAGAATATGTAAGATTAGTGTCACGGCATCTGCATACATGCTGGGATGAGAATTAGATAAACAATTTGGTAAACCATTAATAGATACCAGAAACAGAAGCGGTCCTAGGATCGTTCCTTGAGGAATTCCGCACTTAAGACTACATTTTTTGGAAAGTGACCCGTTAACAAAACATTTCTGCCTGCGGTCTTCCAAATATGACTTACACCATTTGTAGAATTCCATAGTTTCTGAGTTTAGACAACAAGATCTCATGGTTGACCGTATCGAAAGCCTTTTCCAGGTCTAGAAATACCACGGCATTAATATTGCCGCGGTCAATATTGTAACTGGTATTCGGATAGCAAATCATGTTCTAACATGTATGCATAAAGTTGAGTGTAGATTATTCGTTCAAAGGCCTTGGCCATTACTGAAATCACAGAAATTGGGCGGTAGTTATTCATTTCATTCCGTGTACCTTGTTTAAAGATTGGAGTAACTTTGGCACATTTCCAAACTGGACAATACTCCTAGTCCCAGTCAACTCGTCTTGAACATAATATATAAACACATTAATTGGCTACGACCAGAAAAAAAAACAAAAAACTTTTATTGAACATAAATTTTCAGGTACATCCTTCGACCAACGTTTTGAATATTGTTCAATGCATACTGTCTAGTCTACACTAACTGGAACTCCGCATTGGTGGTGGCTGGCTTTTTCGTTTTTCTTTCATTGCCATTCGGGTTTCCAGTCTCAAAAGTTTTAACATTTAATATACTATAAAAGTATAAAATACTAAACCCTAAAGGTATGTGGTTTTAACTATAGTCACCAAGTGGTTTGATGGTACTATATTTAATTCAAAAACTCATTAATAATTCATGACGAAAACACAAAGAGAAATCATAAGCGTGGCGTGTCTTTATATGTAATAAAACACGCTTCAAATTTCAACTTGTATTTTCTCAGCTAATACAAAGTTATTTTGGAAAATTATTTCGCCAATGCCGTGATCTAACTGAGACGTTTTTGAAGTACTGTTATTAAACAGTACTTAAAACATGAGCAGCAGTGTTTTATCAGATATAAAGATACGAGGCGAAGCCGAGTATTTTTAGGTCGGATAAAACACGCACTGCGAATGTTTTAAATTGATTAAAAAACGATCGATCTAGTATAAGTTCATTGGCGAAGTAATTTTCAAAAAATACGTTGTGTAAGTCGAGAAAATCAAAGTTAAAGTTTATGTAAATTAAATTAAATTAAATTAAATTAAATTAAAGGAAATCTATATCACATATGATGATACGACACGCTTATTACAGTCGTGCCAATTGAAGCGTTCCGAAAAATGTTGACCAGTTCATTTCCTAACTTGAAGGAACACCTCTGAACAATTCCTCAACAATTTGATAAGTTCCTTAAAAAGTTCCTAACTTCCTGTTTTATTGACCAATCAAATTTTATTTTTGAGCAATCTGATTGGTCAATGAAACAGGAAGTTAGGAAATTTTTAAGGAACTTGTCAAATTGTTGAGGAATTGTTCAGAGGAACTCCTCGAAGTTAGGAAATGAACTGGTCAACATTTTTCGTAACGCTTCTATTGGCACGACGTACTGTAATGAGTTTTTGAAATATAGTTTGAATCAGCCATGAATATAGTTTGAATCGGCCATCTAATATAATATGGTCACAATTCAAGACAGTGTAAACCGTGTAGTTGTATAACTACTATAAGGATTTCAGCTTTGCGGGATAGATTTAATATTGTTCAGTTGAAATATGGCATTCGAGTCCTAGATTTAGACCACACCCCACAATGACACCTAGCTGGAATATTTGACCAAGTCTATACAATATCGTATGGAGCGTTTGCACTTATTTCCCAGGGATCAACTCAACAAAAGCCATGGCGACCATGTTGGTGTTCCAGACAAAAGAGTCTTTTGAAATTATTTTGAATTGGAACACCTAATTTATGAGAACCGTGGGTACGAGGTTGATTAAAAGCTTCGATATATCTAGAACTGAGTCAGTGCCTAATGTCTATGTGGAATTACTATATACGCTAGCTTTCAGGACACTCGGAAATATAATCTTAATCCACACTTCGATCAAACAACCAATCCCAGGGGACGGACATTCCGAAAATTTCTGGGGGGTGCCAAAATTTTTTGGGACCGACTTTCATGGCTCAGTATCCTAATAATAATAATAATAATAATAATAATAATTTTTTTTTTTAAACAACAGAAATCTTTATTAATAACATGATAATTTATACAAATATATCACATAATTAGACTTTCAATTAAATCAGGAAAATAGAGAAACAGTTCACTATATTAGACAGATAGGTCCATTCTCTACACTTTGTATCAATAGTAGCTAATAAAAATTCAGTAAGTCTGGGTTATTCCACGGCTTGTTTCTTCTGCAGTAAATGTAGAATGTTGTTCTCAGAGCTACCTCCATACATTTTTTAATAATACGTTCGTCGTTCATTTCAAGTGTTCGTAATAATCTACGAAATCTGTCAATATCTTTCGACACAAACCCTAGAGTGGTTACTTCAAGTGTAATAACTTCAAACGCATAACATGCCGTGATCAGCTCAGATCTTAGATGTCTGTATCTTTCTTTCTTGCGACGTTTAGCCTTCGTACAATTGGTTTCGTAGGGAACAGTTAATTCAACCACATATACAGAACCCTTAAAATCCACCACTATATCAGGTCTTAGCGTTCGAAATAAAGTTGAAGTACAGGTCGTACCTGAATTAGGACAGTCCGCAAACAGTCGAAGATCTGCACCAACTGCGACTTTTAAGTGATGAATAATAGTCATCAGAATCGAGTCATGCCGCCAAGTATAGCGTTGTTGTTCTAGGGCTACCTTGCAGTTGGAAAAAACGTGTAGCTGGGTTTGTAACTTGTTGCACAGCTCACAGTTGGCGGAGTCACGAATGTTCCAGCGCTTTAGGTTAGAATTATTTCCTAAATTTAAAATTAACGCTCTCCTAGCAAAGCATACTATATTGCTGGGCATTCGAGTGACAATTTCATTGTTCTTTTAGTTCTACAAAGTTTGACCAAATTTCATTAAGGTTTTTCTTTACCAGAATCTTCTTTGCAGCGTTTCTTAACATATATTGTTCAGAGATACTAGCAGCCGCCCGTTCAATAATATCAGTGACGATGTTTCTTGATGACGTTTTGGTATATAGCTGTTGAATATCGGAGTTGACAGAAGTCCTCAAGATTCTGCGCACTGTCAGTTTACATTGATTATATATGTCAGAGGGGGAACAGAAATCAATTCCCAGTTGTAATTTAGGACGCTTTAGATGACTAATGTTACCGCTGATTGGGATCTGGAGCCATTTCCGGATATATTTGGAAATTATAGAGTCCAGATTAGAATGTATCCAGCTTATAGTAAGCGGGTAGATTGAAAAACGCCAGAAGAACTTTGAGTAGACATAACTTTGAACCACGCGTATTTTGGAAAATGGATTTATTGGGATAAGATCAATTTTCTTTAAAATCTCAATTTTGGTTTCAGTACAATCCATTTCAAAATTGAATTGTTTACCTAAATACATAAAACTTTCACCGTCCTCGATTGGGGGAACCTGTTGACCAGAGATTTTTATAGTAGGTTTATACTGGACTGCTTTTGTCCCAAACTTTTTTATCCCAAAAGTGTGGCACTTATTTACTCGGATATATAAGTCTGCCCAAGAGGACCATTTACTAAATGCATTACACAGTAGTTGATTGTCTTCGTTATGTGCAGATATAATTGCAGCATCGTCCGCGAATTGGAACCAATGACGAGGGTTTAAGGATATATCATTAACATAACCAAGACACTGTATCCTTTCATCATTTATCGTGTTAATGAGTGAATTCACGCATAAATTGAAAAGCTAGGGGGACAAACAGTCTCCCTGCAGTACGCCCCGTTCTACAGATATCGGCATGGTTATAAAATTCTTCGTCAAGATTGAGATACCATAATCAGTGTAAAGGTTTTCTATCATACCAGTGATTTCGTCAGGAATGTGGTGACTTTTTAAAATAGATTTTATCAGGTTATGGTGCACTTCTCCAAATGCGTTTTTGAGATCGATTAGAGTGACAATGATAGACCGCTGCTTGTTGCGGGCGTGGTTTAATAATAATAATAATAATAATAATAATGATAATGATAATAATAAAATCTTTATTTAAACTGCGGCATAATTGTGTCAGCTGACAACACGATATGATCGCATTGATCGCCGGTATTAATACAAGTGCAGAAATCCTCTTCAGTTCCTACCCGCCCGCTCCATCTCATTCTCAAAAAACAGCTAGTTTACTGTTATATACTAGTATACTACAATATAAAAATGATTAATAAAAATCAGAAAAAGACACATCAAGAAGATTCGGAATATAGACTATTCCATTTTTGTAAGCATTTTTATTTTTGTACCTTCTAAGATAAAAAAACCTTATAAGTTCAAACCATTTAGATAAACGTTTTAGCAGAATTAGTGAACTACAGTTTGTAGAATCATCGTTCCCGAACAACATGGACCACCTAACTGATTGCGGGTGATGCCAATAATACAATGAAACACGTAACAACCACAATGCCAATAACAGCTAGCTTTTGTAGCCAAAAACTCAAAAAGAGAACAACATTGTTGTCCTCCTTTTGGCTACAAAAGCTAGTTGTTATTTTACATTTCTGTTCTTGTTTAAAATACGTACATGAAGGGAAGTCCTCAAATGTATTTAGAGTGAAGTTACAGAATACGCGGTTAAATAACAGTTTCGCAAAGTTTCGTAAAAGGGAATAAATAGAAGTTTCGCAAAGTTTCGTAAAAATATTACCCGGTTGGCAAAAATCTTCATCAACCCTGGTTTCATGTAAACCGAATAAAAAATAACCACCTGTGGCGTGCTGACATAGGTTGAAAGTCATCCCAGGTGTAGTATACGAAGGTGTCTAATGATTAATAAAGGTCGCGTGCAAGGGTCAAGAAAGGATATCGGATGACAAATACAAACGGGATTGCTAGACAATATACAGGACAAGAATATAGTGCATTGAGTGCAGGGAACTAGAATAGGATTTAATAAAGTGATTTGTTTATACTGCTTGCGTGTCGTGATATATTACATTGGTGCCGTGACCAGGATGACTACATCAACAGCGACAACAAGACCAAATTTGTTATCTGTTCCTGAAACATTTTCAGACGGTGATTTTGGACTGTGGTTACGAAAGTTCGAGCTGTGTTCGACGGCAAATGGTTGGAAAGAGGATGAAATGTTGAAGCGTTTACCGACGCTATTATCGGGCAAAGCGTTTGTAGTGTTCGAGCGGCTTGGAGACGACAAGAAGGAAGATTTTAAAGTCCTGATAGCAGCGATAAAGGAAGCGTTCGGCGGCGATGAAACAAGCAAACATATTGCTATGATGGAGTTTCGTCGACGTGCGCGCAAGCCTGGAGAGGACATTCAAGTTTTCGCGTATCGGTTGGAAACATTGCTCAGCCGAGCGATCCCTAATATCGGGAATGACGAGAAAGATACGCTTTTAAAACAACAATTTATTGAAGGATCGTCTCCTGCGCTAAAACGGAAGCTACTGCACAGACCGAGCCTGAAATACGAGGAGACCGTCAAGATTGCACAACAATTAGATTTGACACCCGAGCTGTCAAGTCCAAATGCTGATCATGATGTGAACCTGACGAGAGTTCAGAGAGAGAACGTATCTAGCAGCGAGTCAACAGTGGTGCGCCAGTTAAAGGAAAGCGTTGAGGTCCTCACCGAAAAGGTTAACCAACTTTCCGCATCGGTAAATAACATCAGCGAAGTGGCAGCGATACGAACGGAGAACCCCCGTCGTGGTAGAGCTTGTTATAACTGCGGCGGATTTAACCATATCGCGAACGAATGTCGACAACCCAAGCGAAGAAATGATCGTAGAAGAAATGACCCTGGGCAACGCCGGAACGAGAATTACTGCTTTGTGTGTGGTGACCTCGGACATTTTGCCCGTGATTGTCAATATCGGTATCAAGCCCCACAACAACGACACCAGAGAAACTACCAAGGGCTGACCCGCTATTAGGCCTGGGGTCAGCCCGTGAAGACAACGCCATTCCAATAAACAGTGTCTCGCCAACTGCAGTTTTTATTAAAGCTACATTAGGTGGACACCTGCAACGTTGTCTCGTAGATACGGGAGCAACTGTGTCACTGGTAAACAAGAATATTGTCCAAGGACACATACGGGAATGTAAATTGAGGGCACGAGGAGTTGGTGGAGAGAACTTGCACGTGATTGGCATGACTGATATTCATGTAAGAGTGAACGGTTTAAATGTAGTCCACACTTTTGTGGTAGTAAATATGCAGAACCAGTGTATCTTCGGCGCCGATTTCTTGAAAGCGAACGGAATGGTTGTTAAATAACATTGCACAGGAACTTTTGTCATGGGACTCGGGGGAGACGCGACTGCTTATTGAAGCAGCTGCGCCAACTATCAACAAATTATCGGTTCTGCTGGAGAAATATGCAGACGTGTTTGTAAATGGACCGGATGATCCTTTGGGACGGAGTAATGATGCTGAACATTCTATTGACACTGGGGACAGTCGACCAGTCAAACAACGACCATACAGAATACCTGTCCATTTAAACAAAGTGGTGAATAATCAAGTTGATGAAATGCTTGCTCGAGGTCTCATTAGGCCAAGCGACAGCCCGTGGTCCTCTCCAATTGTAATTGTGATTATCGTTTCTGTGTCGATTTTCGGCGTTTAAACGCAGTTACCAGGAAGGATGCGTTTCCAATGCCGCGAGTAGATGAGATCCTTGACAAACTCGGTGGAGCACGCTTCTTTAGCACGTTAGATTTGGCTTCAGGCTACTGGCAGGTCCCTCTGAGAGAAGAGGATATTCCTAAAACCGCGTTCACAGTTGGCCCAAATCATTACGAGTTTACTGTTAAGCCCTTCGGTTTGACAAACGCCCCAGCCACCTTTCAGCGAATGATGACGAAACTTCTCCATGGGATGAGCGGCTGTCTGGTATTTATCGATGACATCATTATCTTTGCTGACACCTGGGAGGAACACCAGAAGATTTTGGAAGAGGTTTTGCATCGAATCAAAGCAGCTGGCTTGAAGCTCAAGGGAACGAAATGTCAGTTCGGACGTGAATCGGTTCAGTTTTTGGGACATATTGTATCCGCAAGGGGAATCCATCCAAACCCAGAGAAAGTCCAAGCCGTACAAGATTTTCCGACACCGTCTTCGTTGTCGGATGTCAGAGCATTTGTGGGAATGGCCTCCTACTACCGCAGGTATGTCCGTAATTTTGCGGATATCGCCGCTCCTCTGCATGAACTAACCAAAGGAGGCAGAGAATTTTGTTGGACATCAGCAGCAGAGCAAGCGTTTCATACCCTAAAAACCCGCTTATCCACTTCACCTATCCTTGCCTTGCCCAATTTTATGATTCCTTTCACTGTTTACACCGATGCTAGCGATTCTGGTCTTGGAGTATTGTTGTCGCAACGTGTTGGTTCCAGCGAATATGTCGTTTGCTATGCTAGTCGGTCATTGACATCAGCGGAGAAGAACTATTCAACAACTGAGAAAGAGTGTCTGGCCATTGTGTGGGCCATTCACTACTGGCGTCCCTACCTACTGGGAAAGGCGTTTCAAGTGGTTACCGACCATCAAAGTTTAACTTGGCTTCAGGGACTAAAAGAACCCAAAGGTCGCTTAGCACGTTGGATCTTAACCCTTCAAGAATATGACTTTGCCATCGTACACCGCCCGGGTCGTGAGAACAGTAATGCAGATGCACTTTCACGGTCTCCTCTTCCAACTACAGTCGTCAGTCATCCTCATTTACCGGATGAGGAGATCGTCATCGGGGTTAGACCCACCCTTATTGAAACCGAATGGTCCCGGGAAGAGATTTGTCAGGCACAGCACGATGATCCAGTTGTCTCAACTGTACTTCAGGCAAAGTTGAACACGCCGGCCGAACAAGAAGCTCCTAGTGATTGGACAGATGATAGTGAACTTCGTCGTTATCGGCAAGTTTGGAAACAACTGGAAATAATTGACGGTGTTTTGCATCGACGCGTATCAACAAGTGGTCGGAAAGATGGTCTCGTTCTTGTAGTTCCTCGGAAAATGCGTGCGGATCTGTTGCGGCTCTCTCATAATGATCCTAGTTCTGGGCACATGGGTATTAATCGCTGCGTCGAACGTTTGTAGCCGTGGTATTACTGGCCTGGAATGACCAGCGAGGTGCATCTGTGGGTTGCAGAGTGTGACGTGTGCAGCCAAAGGAAATCGTCGTCAGCATCCCACCCTTCCCCCATGGAGAACATCCGAGTATCTCAACCAATGGAGTTGTGGGCAATGGACATCTTAGGACCCCTTCCAATAACAGCACGAGGGCACCAGTATGTTTTAGTGATGACTGACCACTTCACTAAATGGGTCGAAGCGGTCCCAATGGCTGATCAGAAAGCAGAGACGGTAGCTCGTGCGTTTATTGACAACGTAGTGTCTCGACATGGCGTTCCTGTGAAACTCCTCACTGACCAAGGTAGAAACTTTGAGTCGGAGCTCATGAAAGAAGTATTCAAGCTGTTGGGCGTTCACAAGTTGCGGACATCACCATATCACCCACAGACTGACGGCCAAGTGGAGCGGTTCAACCGTACACTGAAAGCAATAATCTCGTCCTACGTAAATGGTCATCACAACGACTGGGATTTACATTTACCCTTGGGTTTATTCGCATATCGAACAAGTGTCCATTCCTCGACACGCGTATCTCCATTTAAAGCAGTTTATGGGAGAGATGCTACTACGCCACTCGTGTTACTGGGCAGCACGGAGAAGCCCAAGACCCGGTTGATTGCCGACTACTGTGCTGAACTTGAGTTTACGCTGAAAGAGGTCCACGCGACAGTTGCTGAGGAAATCAAGAAAGCACAGACCCAGCAAAAGCAAAATTATGATGCACGTAACACTGTTCATCAGACAGAAATTCTGAGACCCGGAGACATTGTATGGTTACATAGCACTGTCATACCGAAAGGACGCAGTAGAAAGTTCCACAAACCGTGGATTGGTCCGTACGTCATACTCCGTTGTCAAGGACGTTTAAACTATGTGATTCGTCCAAAATCGGGAAAAGGAAGGAGCTCGTGTGTGCACCGCAATCGACTCAAGCTGGTACAGAATCAGACGGATGACATTAACGAGCAAGACATGCCATCTCCATTGTCGACCAAGAGCGAGAAAACCCAAGAGCAGAGAGTTGCTGAATCACCGATAGTTCACAAGGAAGTTGAGGCAACGAACATGGTTCCTCTAAGGAGATCTACCCGTCAGCGCCGACCACCTGATCGTTACCAGGACTTTAATTTAGATGAGCTTGAGATCGAGGACGCTCTCACTTAAGGGGAGGGTAATGTAGTATACGAAGGTGTCTAATGATTAATAAAGGTCGCGTGCAAGGGTCAAGAAAGGATATCGGATGACAATAACAAACTGGATTGCTAGACAATATAGAGGACAAGAATATAGTGCATTGAGTGCAGGGAACTAGAATAGGATTTAATAGAGTGATTTGTTTATACTGCTTGCGTGTCGTGATATATTACATATATATATATATATATATATATATATATATATATATATATATATATATATATATATATATATATATATATATATATATATATATATGTAAAATACAGAAATAAATAACTACTTAGCAAATATATATATGTAAAATACAGAAATAAATAACTACTTAGCAAATAAAATGAAGTCTGAATATGACGTCATATTTCGAATATGAATCATTGGAATTATATTTGACTTTATATATTAAAAGCGTGCATATATAAGATGATCATGCCTAAATATTACATAATATCTCACCAATTGGTAAGCAGTTTGAGTCCAAAACAAGAAACTGTCTTTTCTGAAACTGCTTAAACACTCAAATCTGCTCAAAATGTGAAATGCGTGGTATGTCGGCCACATGCACACATGGCCTTCAGCCATTGCCTATCTCCCTCTAATATATTATCTCACATAAAAGGTCCCTTTTCAAAAAATCCCCCCCCCCCGGAAAATTCTTAAAATAGGCCCTGCAAGAAACCAGATCAGATGCATTGAAGTCCGCCTTATCTTTGAATTCCACTGTGCAGAAAAAAAATGGCTCTTTAAAATTATATGAAGCCACTTGAACAGCTATTTATTGCCCCGCCTAAAAATCCTTGCATGGATGCCGCACGAACATGCACTTTAAATGTCCGATTATAGATACCATGCGCTCAATTCTTGGCATGGCAGCAACAAAAATGATACACGCACTAAAGTGCTATAAGACTACCTATATCATGAATGCCTATTTACGTACTGTATATATAGGTATCTAAATCTGAAGTGATTGCCCCTTTCTTACAGTCAAAATAGCCGGAATTTCAGAGACAATTGTTGAGTTGTAACGAGTGGCCGTCTACCACACTTTTAGATTGTACTAATGAATGGTATATTAACATGGACCGTGGCCTATACAACATAGTTGTTCTTCTCGATTTAAAGAAAGCATTCGATACTGTCAACCATGAAATTCTTTTACGTAAGTTCGAACGGTATGGCTTTGGTAATAAAGCCCTAGATTTACTAAGTAATTACTTAACAAATCGAACACAAAGATGTCAGCTAAATGGAATTCTTTCAGATCAGAGAGGAATAACTTGTGGCATCCCTCAAGGAAGTATACTTGGCCCTCTTCTGTTTATTATCTATATAAATGATTTGCCAAATTGTCTCAAACATACAACACCAAGGATGTTTGCAGACGATACCAGCCTTACATCTGTGGGCAAAACATTAAATGAAGCAGAAGAGATAGCGAATAAGGATTTGAAAAATATTAAAGTGTGGTTGTGTTCAAACAAACTTAGCTTAAATATTGCGAAAACGGAATATATTTTGATTGGATCACGCTCTAAGATTAATAGCATGGATGTCCAACCCACAGTTAAGATCGACACATGTCCAATCAAAAGAGTAAAAAGCGCAAAAGTGCTAGGAGTTGAAATCGATGAGAACCTAAACTGGGAAAAACATATTGAATATATCGCTAGTAAAGTATCTTCGGGGATTGGTGCGTTAAAAAAAACTTAAAGAATTTGTAGACCGAGATACATTAGTGCTGGTGTATAATGCATTGATCCAGCCGCATTTTGATTACTGTTGTGAGGTTTGGGATGAGCTTGGCAAAGGCCTCGGCGAACGTCTTCAAAAATTGCAAAATCGAGCGGCTAGAGTAATTATGAATTTTAAAAATGAGCATGGACAGTCTATCTTAGCTCGTACTGCTCTCGGTTGGACATCCCTTGAAGAACGTAGAGCATTAATGAAGGCCAAACTCATGTACAAAACAGTAAATCAATTAGCTCCACAAAGACTGTGTAACATTTTCCAATTTTCCAACACTGTTAATAGTTATAATCTAAGAGGTTCTTCAACTGGGCTTTTTATTCCAAGGCCCAGGACAGAATTTTTTTTTAAATGTTTCAGTTACAGTGGGGCTAAATTATGGAATAGAATACCAGAAAATATTCGAAATTCGATATCTTACAACTCGTTTTGTAAAAACCTTTTCTCCTCGCCCTCGGCCTCCCAATTATTAAGTTAAGTAGTTTAGTTAAATGAATATTTAATAGCATTTATATAATAATAGTTTGTATGTATTAGTAAATTAGTCTTAAAATTGTAACAGTAAGCCAGCACACCTCACATGGAAATCAGCATAATGTTGAATGAGATTAGTGTGCCTAAGTAAAGTTGATCTATCTATCTAGTTACTTCCGTTTTACAATTTCTTTCCTGCAAGATTTAAAACTTTTGCAACATAATTACGTCGTCATCTTTTCCAACTTGTACGATTATTTAAATCTTGTACGATTATGTTTGTTTTTATTTTCAGCTTCCAAGTTTAATGAAAGGTTCACTGCAGACGAACAACTCAGGACCAATGTCTCCAACTTCTGATATGATACGACCCAATACTGGTGACGGTGACTATTCGCTTCTTACTATATTAACTCTTTTGCGATAATTAACCCTTTAAGTGGTTTTGTGCCTAATGTCCCCTACTTTGTTATGTTACTCTGTCTAATGCCAGACGATTTTACTTGTCAAGGAGAACGTGCTGGCACTGAGTGGATAAAAAGGACGACCTTTGCTCGAAAGATCGAGAAGGGTGATCGCTAGATAGTATACTTCAAAATAAGGTTTTCGTTTTTATAACGTAGAAAGAAGTATCCAAACGCAACACTAAACCCTAACCCTAATACTAACCCCAACCTAACCCTAACCTAATCCTAACTTATTTTAAAAATTGATATAAAAACGGAAACCTTATTTTGAAGTATACTATCTAGCAATTGCCGATCGAGAAGTGTCTTTATCTCTTTCCGAATGAGCGACTTGTCATTTTATATCATAAATTATGGCTGACGCTGGATCCCCAAGGTTTAAGATTTTAATGAATTTTTTTAGGTTTGCTTCCTCTACCTGTTCCTCGCTCGCCTTTTCCTTTTGGTAAGAATATAAATTACAATCAATTTTATAAAATGAAGAAAGTGTTGACAATCACTCGTATTTTGTCCATGCTGACTTTGTTAATTTGTTTTCTACTTCTTGTATTCTGGCATAATATTTAACTTAATTTCCCTACGTATTTAATTGATTTTCTTAATTTAATGTATATGTTCATTTTGTTTCTGTCTCACAGGTGATTTATTTCCATTCAAAATGATTTCCCCAGGAGAAGTCTCGAATAAACAAAAGAATCGTTCATCAGGTAGAGAATATACAAGACAGTCCAAAAAATGAATGTTAAATATAGGCTTTTAGTTATTCGAATAAAAACTGATAAATATATTCTATGATACTCTTATATTTGCCAGCAAAGAACTCGTATAAACGAACTGTGAAGAAATATGAAGGTATAAGATATCGAAAATCGGAGTCAAAACGTCGCAATGAGAGAAAGACGTCACAAGGTATTTTCTAGCATATTTATTACCTGTGTTTTGACATGGTTTGACGACGCTAGGCGTGAACACAACGAGAAATCCATAGCATTCCCAAAGTGATGCCATACCACAGATTCTAAGTTGGACTTGATGACACTTTCCAGAAATAATTATAAAATTTTCCAAAATTATATGTCCCCAGCAGGTATCGACACTGTGCGCTTAGTTACTGTACTGTTATTTTCAATACGCATGGAGTACGAGCTGACTATGTTTTTTCTAATGCTTCCATAAAATAGGGCAGCACCGGAATCGCAGGGCCTCGAGTTACGATTATTGCCTATATGTACATGGAAATAATACTCTATAAAAAGTTGCTCTTCAGTTTTAAAATGAGTATTCTTTGGTATTCTTTGCTTTTTCTCATTTTTGGGTCTGATGGAGGGAGAACCACCCGTACCTCTCTGTGGAACACACTGCAATTCCCCTCTGATCTTGTTCAATGTCTCCACGTCATGATCATACTGGTACACGTACTTATCGACCATAGAAAATGCATTAAGATGGTTAATCAGTTCATTTGCTCTTGTCTTCCAAATTTAGATCCAAATATTGAGAAAAAGAAGAAGAAAGAAAAGAGAAACAAGCCTCCGAAAGGTGAAAGCTTGTGTGTGTACATGTTTATTTTATCCTTTAAATGATATGTATTATTGTACATTCTCTTTGATAAGAACATTAATGAAAACGGAGGTCGTAAGTCGTTTTAGAGAATAAACGAAATCATCCAACGATTCGATGTTCTTTCGTATAGTGTTCATGGTCGCGTTATTTCAGTGAGGTAGGGCGTTTTCCATTAACATGGCCAAAACGGTCAAATTGTTGAATGGCACAACAAAACGTTTGGGCTTCGGACCTATCTGACCGGAAAATTTAGATAAAATTAGAATGATGTTCATTTTCGCTAGATATTTGAGAAACATAGAACAGATCTTTCCATTGATACAGAGACAAAAATTCGGATCTGACCGGTCAGGCCATTAAATGGAAAGCGCCCTTAGAGTGCGATTTCACTTTTCATATACATTATACAATAATTGGTCAAAATAAGAAGTTATATTTAGGGTGTGTTTAAAAACGGTCGGATTAGAAAATAAGGTGTTATTTGCAGTTACAAAACTTTCAACTGTTGTTATTTTTAAGTATTTAACCTTAGTTGTTTTCTCTATATTTCATGTTATATATCTTTATTTCTATCCTTTGTTTAGATAATTCAAGTAAAGTTCGTAAAGTGAAGCAAGAACGTGGTGTGCTAAACTCAAAGAGATCTGGTGGAGGTGAGATAAAACCACCATATTTTTTTTCCTCAAATGCAATTCCGTATATAATCAAGATACAGTATACCACTCAACAAATTTAGGAGAATCACATAATAACTGGACAACTATATTGCCGTGTACAAATCGCATGCGCATTCTGAAATACAAAATATAACAAAGTGAAGTACAATTTTGAGAAAGTATTTATTAAATTCATTGAATTACTGAACATAAAAATCGCGCAGACCAAATATCACTTTCCAGTTTCCAGTTTCCACCGTATACACAATATATTACTCTAGTGATATATAAAACTCCATGTGTATGCTCAAACTTAATACTATGACAATGCTTTAAAACATTCACTCGCTACATCTTACTTTCTATAGAATCTCTTTAGGCATGCATCATCTGGGTTTGAATATTTTATTTGTTATTTCTATTCAAAGATACGGGTCAAGCAACAGGCGTTCCAAGATTAGAGACCAAAGACAAGAACGCAGATGACGAAGAAGACACGTACGAAGAAATTAACCTTGGATTTAAAGTGAAAACGTTGGAGGAAATATTGCGGGATAAAGCTTTAAAGAAATTTCTCGAACGGCAGAACATGAAGAGTGGTGCAGAAGTTAGCAATTCTAAGGGTGAAATTCAACCTAGAGTTAAATCCGAGACCACCGGCTCAGAATCGATAGATGAAAAAAGCATAGACATGGTATATTCTATCGAAGACGTTCTGCAGAATGTTGAAACAAGCACAGTAGAAACTGTTAAACCAAAGTTTAAGAAATTGAAACCTCTTAAACCACTCAAACCTCTTACACCTCTTAGAAATACCAAACGAAAGAGCTTAGACGCTAAAAATATGACTGACAAAGCCGAAGAGAAAAAAGATGGTGATCAAAAGAATCCCTTACCACCTTTAAAAAGATTAAAACCTCTTTCAAAGACTTCACAAAAAGGGAATTCAACGGCTAAGGTTTTAAAACGGAAACTAAACACAGACTCAGATGATGTGCAAATTGTTCCTGGTAAAAAGCTTAAAAAAATAGAGAGAGTGCTGGTAGAGGATAATTCATTCTCCGAAGATGCAGGAAATCAAGTTCCCACTAACAAGGTTATAGCAGATAAAAATGTTGTATCGTGTGCGGACTTTGAAAAATCAAGCACGAAGGAAGTTACACCAGGTAACTTAGCCAAATCAACGCGTAAACCGAAACGAACTATAGTCGTGCTTCATTCTGGAACTCGCAATAAAGCTGTAAAAATAAGGCCTGTTCAGGTAGATAAAATCCAGGGATTAAGAAAAGAGGGAAAGAGTACGTTATCAGAACTTGCTGACAACGAACTTGCTGAACAAGACATAGCTAAAGAGGATCAAAAACGTGAAAATGATGAACAAGTGAAAGTGATGAATTTCACACACGATAAGGATGAACCACAGAAAATAGTTAGCACAGTTAAGGTTCGTCCCAACACACTTGTATTGAACGGTAACAGGAAACCTCCTGGGAAAATTATTATGTTAAGCACAAGCAAGGATACGAAAGATTCCGTGTTACACAACGATTCCCAATGTAAAACAAACAATGCAGTGATAAACAAGGATACTAGACCTTCATCAAGTTCGGTAATATCTGGAATAAACGCTGTTGTTGAAAACATGGATAAACAGGGAGTGAACAAGGATGTGGATCAGACGCTCAAGCAAGATGAACATATAAAGATCAACGACGGGAACACTGTTGTGCAATTGAGTACGAAACCGTCAAGAATGATAAAGTTGAACAGAGACAGATTAACAGAAAAAAAGAATGATAAAGGTTAGTCTAATTTTTCTATACCTGCTACAGCATATGATACCGAAACCGGGATCGAAAATGTTATCCGTTATAAATTTGTTTTATTGTATTTGTATCGTATAGTTAGTAGAGAAGTTGAAATCTAGGGGGATCTGTGGGGCATGATACCGCGAGATAATTTGAAAGAATGGGGCTCAGAAATGCCATTTTCTGCACTTCTTAGTATCGAAATGAACAACTTGGACAACATACATCCTGTAAAAATTGCTTCACAATCAGATTTGGTGGTTTCGGGATGATTTGGTGGGGGTTATAATCGCCAGCAAATTAAGCAGAATTGAACTAAAGAACGCCTGTCTCAAATTAATTATAATTATATATAATTAATTGTTGTATTAAACTTGACTACTCGTGTCTACTGTGCTATACTGTACTGTACTTTGTTGCACTGCATTATACATGGTGCATGTACGTATAGTAGTGGCAATGTATGCAATCTAGTATAATCTAGTATATCGTCATACATATGTGTACAATAATAACATATTTTCGTTACTGATATTTCATTTACGATATTTATTTCAGGAACGTCCAGGAATCTATTAAGTGCATTGGGAAGGAAACTTAAAGTGAACAAAGCAAAGCCGTTGTCACAAAAACAAGGTACTGACATAGTGGAGTAGCTACTTGTGTGTTGTGTAACCGTTGTATTATACCTTATATTAAGTTAAGTTTACGCTATCGAAATCTCTTCGATCAATATGATATCATTATAGCACTTTTGACGTAAGATTCATGAAACTGTATTTTGATCAAGACACGTTTTTACAGTGTAATCCTGCCAGGGATTATGTTTGGTGGTTAACGCTAGTTTTTTGAAACAGGCTTTTTTTCTCTACAGCTGTTGTGAAACCAGTGTCTGTCCATAGTACGGAATTTTCAGAACAAGGGCAAGGCAGCAGTAAGGCGCCTCAAGATAGCAATACGAGAGAGAAATCGGAGGTGAAATTTGCGGACACATCACAGACTATTGTACCTTCCCTTGGTTTGGCTAATCTGTCAACAAATAGCGAAACCAAGTTTAGATTGAATGACAAAATCGGTAATACAGATCAGAAACGACTGGAAGCAGCCACGGTTACTACGGCTACACGACCTAAGGCTACTACGGCAACAAATATGTCAAAAACATTTGCAAAGAATGATTCCGATAATGACAATACCAACCAAGTTCAGATTGCTAAGGAATTAAATGAAGAAGAGGATAAACGTATTGCACTAAAAACGACAAAAAACTCCACACTACAACCAACCATCGAGGTTAGTAACTTAAACTTAGTACATTACTTGGTACTCTAATAAGTTTTGGTATATATAATATTAATCCACGGTGTGTCCGTGGTCAGCACCTCACTCCAAAGTGGACTCTTCCGCCCGCCCTGCATTCAAAAGGTTTCAAATGTGTGATAACGAACATTTATATAGTGGATTTTAACAATATTAGCATATACTCGGGAGGTGGATAGTGCTTTTCGCGCAATTTGATTGGTTGCTCAGCTCCCAATATCCTTGCACTATTCACTTCCGGACAGAAACAAAATGGCTTCCCGTTTCGTTCCGGTTACAGACGAGCGCAAAATATTTGTACGCAACGAACCTACGGTTTCGCCAACTGACGAATTAAGCCACAAAGTTTTGTTTAACAGTGTGTAGAGATATTCTTTAATTAAAACCATAATTTCTAATGAATAACAGTACAAAAAGCGTGTAAATACTGTTTTGTTTACAACTGATTACGGGAGCAAATTGTTTTAGTAATAAATATTTCATTGTTTTTTGGTCATTTTTGTTTTGATATGGTATATGCTAAAACAATTATTCACGTCCTATTTGGTGTAGAGCATGATTATTTGGTGTATTTTTGTAATCGTAACATATGGGCGAATCTACTCGTTCGCATGCGCCATAAGAAGAAACTTACAAGGGTGCTTATCTTTATTTAGGATGCTGCTGATTCATACGTGCCGTCAAGACGAATAGAGGAGGGGAAAAGAGGTAATAACTTTTAAGTTTTGAAAGTCCTGAGAGCCTTGTTACGGACCAATTATGATGATACCCATCGTCGTCATGTAATTAGCGTGTCAAAGTTTCTGGGAAATTATAGATATTAAATCTACCAATTTGGGAACACATGTATTTTTATAAATTTCTTCGAAATTGTGGTTCCAACTTTACATATTGAAATCTACTTTAGAAACGTTTTACCTCTATAGAACCCACCTAACATGATTTTGTTATGCGCGCTCCCTTGTTTTATTTATTTACTATATCTTTTTTTGCATTAGTACCTGAACCTGAGCACCACAAGATTGATAAAATATCTCCAGAAGAAAGAAGGGGAAACTCTCTGGATAAATTTTTCGACGAAATGTAAGTAGACGTTTTTTCTCTTACCACCAAAATTTTAGGATTTACTTGAAATAGCGTTCTGGGTCCTTTTTTAATTAGTGGTATTAAATATATAGCAGTTAAATTTTCGGCAACATCTGCGTTAAAGTAAAACTCCATAAAGCGAAATTATTCTTATTCGTGTTGACTACAATTTGGTCGGAATTAAAGGTAGGCAATAAAACTATTGTTTCGATTTACCGAGTTTTCCATCGTATATTCATTGTAGAAAATATAATTCTATAGATCTGAGGATGTCGAAGACGAAGGTGAAGATTTTCTTAACGAAGCTCTTGCTGAATTGTCTCCAGTTAATACAGACGATGAGGAAGACGTGTCGAATGCTGATGATCTCCTCTTGGAAATTGAGGAAATGATCAATTCGTAATGTGGATTTTTCAGATGTGTTTCATGAATGGTTGAATGTCTACCCAATTATTTGCATTTATCTTGACATGCATGTGCTGGTCAAGGAAGTACGTGGAGGATAGTGGAGGATTCTATGGAAGAAAAAAATGTGGCAATTCAAATTATTACTTCATTAACGCCTCAGCGCTCTGCGTGGAAGACTTTTCACTATGATTTAAAATGATTATTGATGCAAAGCAGTCGAGGTTTATTTTTTGTTAAAAGCGGGAAGACTTCTATAGAACTTGAACATTTACTTCGCTAAGCAGAAACCAAGAGTATACTTGACGATAATTGCGAATTGACCTTGCTTCCCGGAAAGAGATAATAAATAAAATGGCATTGTGAACATAGAATAATTTGGCGTTGAAATGTCTTTATACCGAAGCCGTTTACATCAAGAATAGGACAAATTCCAAATGTGGGAAACTATAAGTCTGATATTTTATATAAAATTAGCAAGTTGAAGTTTCATTTCTGACAGGATATTGTTATTCCTGCAAAGCTGCGTACAAAGATCATTTCGATCTACTATCTGTATTAGTAGATCTATATAGTATTTTGTTAAGAATACATGTACATTTTAGGAGGTCTAATTTAAAAATTCTCACGGTTTCTCATCAGATCTGCATATGATGCATGCTATTTTAGAAGACAGCGCTATAGGTTGATAATTTTTAAGAGGCGAGTTTAACGACATAAAACGATGAAATATGGACACTAGCATACATGTTTATGTTGCTAGTGCTGTCCAATAATTTTTTAAACTGTAGGCGATTTTCCATTGTGATTGGGGTCAAGATAGGACGCTACCCAATTTTTCAAGCAAAACATTTGAAACAAGGACTTGTACCACTTTTAGCTATATTTCAATCATAATACATGTTGATATGTAATTATGTATAACAGTCTTCCTTTCAATAAATTTGTCAAATTATACAAGCCCTAATTGGTTGAGTTATAAGAGATAAGGTTTTATATATATTTACTAAGCGAAAAAAAATAACATTCACAGATTGATGCGACAACCATTTTTTTACGTTGGCGTTGATGAGAAATCGGGAGTTTTTATCTTTATCACATTGCAGTCTATATTCTGAATCAAGAAAATACCAATCCTGAATTCTACAAGGATATTTGTAGATATTGTATTCTTGCATTCAAGATTTCAACTTGAAAGTAATATATAAAATAAATCTACAGAAATTAAAACACTATGTTAGTACATAATGAAAATAATTTTGTAAATTTTGTGTGTTTTAGTTAATGATTGATTGATTACAGTGATTCGCGTATTACCTATACGTCATCGTGATGTTATAATTAGGCCAAATGGCTGAATATTTATACACAATATCACGCATCCTCCCAACAATAAGACCTAACAATGATATTTGGTCTCTCTTCTCCCGTTGGTGGGGCTGCATGAGGTCACCGACGAGGGACCTATATAGGTTGTAGCTTTGTCGTGATTGTATGCCTGCATGCAGGAGGTTTGGCGACACTCCGAATTACAAGGTTCAAGTTGACTACAGGAAACAGTGGCGTAGCCAGACCTTCATTTTTATTTTTTTTTGGGGGGGGGGGGGAACGAAGCGAACCCCGAAGGCGTGAGACCTTCTAGGGGGGTCCGGGGGGAGCATGCGCCCCCGGGAAAACTTTGAAATCTAGAGTTCCTGAAATGCGATTTCAAGCATTTGGGGGTGAAATCTTGCAGAATAACGAAGTACATCAAAGTACATCGAAGACATAAATTTTCTGTGATGCTGGGGGGGAGAAAATCCCAATGTGATTTTGATCAGAAATATTGCATTTAAATCATTCTAGGTTCTATGAGACACCATTCCCGCATTCTCAAAATTGCGTTGCTTTTTTATACGATACAGAATAAGTCTGAGAAGAATATTCATGCTATGATAATGCATACATATAAATCTAAACTTGGAACCATATCTACAACTGCTTTAATGAGATTTTACAAATCAAGTTCCTCCAGTATATCGTCGTTTTCCTCAGTCAAGACGTACTTAATCAGCTTCGAGCATGTAACGTGTACCCCAAAGTTTTGTCTTTCAGACAGAAAAACTGACAAATCCAGTTCGTAAGCCAAGAAGAGTGTAATAAGAGTGCAATAGTAAATATTTTCATGAAATGAAAGATGGAAATATTCAACGAGACGACAGCCGAGTAGAATGAGACGTTTGAGTTATCCAGCTTATCCTGCACACAAACAAACTGAGATGAAATTACAAACAGATAACCTCCGAGATAGGGACTAGTAGGACTCTCTGAGTAGGACTAGTCTGACGCAGTGAACTCTATAAATACTGGAACGATAACTCCAGGTAAACAGCCCTATGATTTAGTAAAACCAAGATGGCGACCTATATGGATGATCTTTTGTATAGGTATGAAACACGCGTGTTTTTCGCGGCAGCTGAAAAATGACTAAAATAAAGTTTTCCGATCGATGTTTTTGAATATTTCACATAAATGCTCATTTTTAGTGGTAAATTCCCTACTTAAAAGCTAAAAACTAATTGAAAAGGTAAGATTGATGATGCAACTGCAGTCCAGACCATATTATTCGGTTTAGATCAATTCCTTCATAGATAATCCAAAAAACAAACGTTTGGTGGTGTTTCTCCGGCTTTTTTTCTGAACTTATGTCTACTTAGCGGCCTTGCATGGCCTTGACTCTCGAGTGCATGTTCTTCAAAACAATAAAAGCCTGCAAATAGCTCGGAAGAAGATTGGAATGATGAGCAGTGCGCTGCATTATTCTTTTCGACTCTCGGGATTTTTAACATTTTCTCTTTAACATTTTTTAAGTTTCGGATATTAACTATATATCAAATTATTTCTAATTTCTTGCTGATCCTTCTGATATAAAATTGGAGATGTCTCGCAACGTATTTCATCGCGAAATTTCACTGTCAACATGGCGGATGGTCAAGATACAAACGATGTTACAAATTCAGAAATCACCAAACCTACATTATTATATATCCGTGAAGACGATTTATTGTTTATCTAGGGGGATCTGCAATCTTTAAAAAGTTCGTAGAAACGGATATTCAACTCAGCGGAAGATGGGCATCGCCGAGAGGGGGAACTATTCAATTTAGTAATCTCGAGTATTGTTTGAAATGGCATGTGCCAACGGAGAACAAGCTTTCATACTACAAGACAACGACGACAATCAGCTACAAACCAAAATGTGAAAATTATAGGCCGATTTCTATACTGCCAATCGTTAGTAAGGTTTTTGAAAGAGAGGTTTTTAGACAAATTTATCGCTTTGTTTCTGATAATTTCTTACTCTCGAAGTTTCAATCGGGATTTCGACCTAAACACTCCACACTGTCCTCTTTGATACAAATGTGTGACGATCTACTTGAGAATATGGATAATGGCAAAATAAATTGTGTCGTGTTCTTTGATGTACGTAAGGCCTTTGATTGTATAAACCATGAAATACTATTAAAAAAGATGCTTAACTACTTTGGTATATCAGGAATTCCACTAAATTGGTTCAAGTCTTATCTATCTGATAGAGAGCAGCAATGTCTGGTAAACGGTCATTTATCGAGCCCGAGAAAGATAAAATGTGGTGCACCGCAGGGATCTATCTTGGGCCCTTTATTATTCCTATTATACATAAACGATATGCCTGACTCCTTAAAATATACAACTCCATCCCTCTACGCAAATGACACAGAAATTTATCTATCCTCTAAAGATTGTGATGACATTGTTATTAAAATAAACCTTGATCTTGAAAATATTCGAAAATGGATGCTACAAAATAAGCTCCAAATTCATCCGACAAAATCGAAATATATGTTTATTGGATCAGCGTATAATATTAAACATAAGGTATCTGGTAACCCAATTCTTGTTAATAACGTTCCAATACCCAGGACTGAAAATTATACTTGCCTTGGTGTCAACATTGACGAAAAATTGACCTGGGAAAAACATGATGTACAATGCTATTGTGCAGCCCTACTTTGATTACTGCAGCCCTCTCTGGGACAACTGTGGAATAGGCCTCAAGGACAGGTTGCAGAAATTTCAAAATCGGGCTGCAAGAGTAATTTCTTGTGCGACTTACGATGTTCGGTCGGTTGATTTACTTGAAAGCTTGGGTTGGAAACACCTAGAACTAAGGCGAACTTATCTAAAATCTGTTTTTATGTATAAAATTCTGAATAACCACACCGCACCAAATCTAAGAACATCCTTTCGATTGAATAATGAATGTGATAATACCTATGATCTTAGAAATAGAGAAACCGATTTGTCTCTTCCTAAACCGAATACCGATTCTCGTAAAAGATGCTTCAAATATAACGGAGCGGTAGTATGGAATAATTTACCGTATGAGGTAAAAGTAGCGGAATCTTTAAGTTCTTTTCAAAGAACTATTAATCAGGCAAACACTTAAAATTGGCTCGTCCTGTTGCCTACTGTATATGTAATTCTTCTTTCTTTGTTTTTGTATTTTTAATGTTTACCTGTACTGTATATTTCTCCAAATCACGCCCCTCATGGAAATCAACTCCGAGTTGTTGAGGCCAGCGTGCTTAAATAAATTTTTGTATGTATGTATGTACAAACCACCCTCAAGAGCTACGCCACTGCTTATAGCGAGACGACCGAGCGAACACGTGGTTGATAACGCTATTTATTATATGGCTTTTCAAAATTCTCTATTCTGATTGGTTGACAAGCGGGTCCGTAAAAACCCATATCCGGACCGTGGTCCATATTTTCCGTATCTGGACCGGTGTCCCGGATGTCGTTTATCTGGCGGGAAATTTTTGCTTTGCAAACAGAAAAAAATTTTTGCTTTTTAATTTTCGAATTGTGTGTCAATAAAATTTAGAGATAAAAATTTCAAACAAGTAATTTTTTTTTGATTGAGCATGCATGCCTACCGTATATTGTTATTTGTTACCCAGTGAAACTGACGATTTAATTCGCGCCAAAAACATAATGCTCACAGAGTCAGTTCAGCCATATAATAAGCCGATTATTGACCTCGCTTGTTCGGTCTGTACTGTGAAATATCAGACCTCTGTTTTTTTGTATGGACCTCGCTCCTTCGTCGCTCGGTCCATACTAAAAAACTTCTGTCTGATATTTCACAGTACAGACCTCACGCTCGGTCAATAAGCCGTTAATATCAAAAACGAAACCGAAATCAACACGAAACATTCAATGTAAGAACTACAAAGAAGAACTATAAAAAATAATGATGATAGTATCTGAAATTAAATCCAGTCAAGAGAACGATCATGAAAATGCCATTATACGAGCGGTAGAATCCAACGTAAAGATAAAATCTTTGCACGAGCGAGGAAAACTACAAAATGGCGGCGGAGATTGAATTTCTCGAAGCTACAGTATCTGATCTTATCAATAACAACGAAAACATCAAAAAATATTCTAGACATAAAACAAAATGAATGAATCAAAATAGCAGAAAGCCGAAAGGCCAAACTCACCAAAGGCAAATTCTCCCGAAACTACAACGAACATGCTTTTAATACAACCAAATTACAAAACCGGTTTGAAATATTAAATGATGAAAGTGGTGGAAACAAATCATCGCCTGAGGCTGAGCTAGCTTCAACCGAGCGAAAGAGGGAGAACATCTGCAGTCAGATCAATGACTATAGGTCAAAGGAACGATCGAAGTTCGAAACATCCTCCCTGGGACCGAGTATGAGTTCGAAAATCAAAAGAAAATGCAACACATAAACAGAATGGATAGAAGAATACTGGAGCTGAAACACAGAAGAAGGAAAAAATTAACAAAGTCTTGGTGATCGGCGACTCAATGGTCAAACACATTGATGGACAGAAAATTGAGCGGGCTGCTGGTTAATTGCCAGTCAGTCGTCCACTCTTACGGCTGATTTCCACTGTTGCGTTTTTCATACGTACGTTTACGCACGTAAAACTTTAAATCCGTTTAAATGTTACTTATGAAATAACCAAATAAATAAAGCAACAGAATTTAGTGTTCCGCAAGTTTTAGTATGCATTTGTTAACTTATTTGTAAAATATTTAAAAAATAGAAGAATTCAAAGTTTTACGTGCGTGTACGTGCGTACGAAAACGCAACAGTGGAAATCAGCCTTTACAGTGGTGCAAGGAGTGGAACAAAGCAGTAAGATGAAAAATATTGATTAGAAAGTGAGCAGTACGACACCGTTGTCCTTCATGTGGGAACAAATAACCTCGTTTCCGAAGATCCAGAGGCCGCGGAAGCATCTCGACGTGGAGCTAGGGCATTGGCCAAAAGGGGCAATTTTGTATATGACCAAAATCAAACGATTTTATGTCGTTCACGTGAGCCGAAAGAAAATTTTTGAAAATACGGAGTCTCTTAACGTTGGAAATGGCCTTCTTTACTACTGCAAAAAGGGCACTTTCCAACAAAAGAAATACTTTTTTCGTTCTTTAAATGGGGCACTTTAGCCCAGAAAAAAGGGCACTTTTTCACTTTTAAAAAAGTGGGGGGGGGGGCTTTTTTCAGAAGGCAGTATCAATTTCCCGTGCGTAATACAAAATAACTGAAAAACGGCAAACTTCGCAGGGCTATATTATCCGCATTTTACAACAATTTCGCAAATAAACTTCGGAATATATCAATATTACTAATTTTGTGATGCTCTTTCAAGCTGTGATGACATTTTTGTCTAGACTTGTCTAGATCAAAATTTTGTTCATTAGGTGATAGGTCCACTGGCAGCTGGTCTTGTCGATATGGCTGTAGACGACTCACAAATTGTATTGCCTTCTTTCCTCATGTCCTTTTTGAACTTGCCTTTAGTGAGCAACTTCATCACTTCTTCCACCTTTCTCTGAAACCTGTCTCTTTTTTGTTTTGCTGATTTCCTTTAATTTGTTTTAGTTGACCTCTTCTGTCGTTTTGCTTCGGCTTCTTGCTCTGCAGATGATGTTCTTCTTTTCAACAGATTGGTATTTGTAAAATCAATTTTTATTTGTATTAAAAATTCAAAGAGGGGCATGAAATTATTTTCCGATTATTGAGGGGGTGCCAAGTAATTTCTTGAAAGGATGGGTGGGGCATGAACCTATGGGTCCCAAATATTTTTATATATGACGGGACATACATTTGGAATTCTATTTCAAAAGAAACTATAGAGAGAGCAAATCCTCTCTCCTCCGCAGAGGCTTCTGTTGGCTATGATTACGATTAGTATTGAGATACATTTCACTATACACTTTACATGGCGGATAAAAATCCCTTTCTTTCGAAAGAAAATCACTACTCACATTGATTGATATAGCTATCTGTAAATATATAGATCTACCTGTAAATATATTATTATACTAGTTAATTACGTTATATATAATACTATTTTACTTTTACAATATAAATACATATTTTATAATAATCGCTCCTATAGTAACTGCGATAACACCAATAATTGGTAAATAAATAAGTGACGTATAGTTTTGCTCTCTAGCACCATATATAATAGCGAATGGCACAAAAAATTCTTTGTTCAAAGTATAACGAGCCTTCACGGGGCAAGCCTTAAATTAGGCCTCTCATCAGCAGGAGTAAATTTAACGAATTTAATTCCACGGAAATTCGACGTCGATGAGTATATTAAAGGCCTGATTCCACGAGCGCTTTTTGTCAGCGAATTATTTCGCCTGTTTCTTTTGAATTGCGACCACTCGAATAAATTATTTCTACTTGATTGCTCACAATTCAAAAGAAACAGGCGAAATATTTCGCCGAGAAAAAGCGCCCGTGGAATCAGGCCTTAAGGGAGGGGTGAATAGGTTTTCGGATCGTCGGATTCCGCCGAAAAAATTGTTCGGACTTTGGATTTGCGAATATTTTACACGGATTTGCGGATCTTATTAATACAGCGGATTGCGGATTTATCTATAATATTTTGGCTCGGATTGTTGATTTTGCTTGCAATTTAGTTCGGATCCTGGATTGTGGCTTCATAGTAGAGCTTTTAGCGGATCCAAATTTAGACAAGATCATTGTCGGACGGCGGATTTTGCTTCAAATTTGGGCGGATCGGCGGATTTGTATACCCCTATTCACCCCCTCCTAAGCCTTGCAAACCGAGCCTTACAGAATTTAATGGTATCCTCGCCCTCCACAAAAAGGTTTCCAGTGCCATTGGCCCGACAATGTTTTACATTAAAAATATAAATATAATTTATTAATATAATGTATATAGACATATTAATGTAGTTCCATAAACTCGCTAAAGATTTCTTGGTTATCCACGATGTCGTGAGAATGGTCCTGTCATGATGTCTTCAAAGCATATACCATAAAAACAGCCCATAATTGTCGTACTGCATGAGCAGTCCGAATCTACACTGCATCGTGAGTACAATGTGGAACATCTTTTAATTATCTAGTGTTTAAAAAAAATTGTGTTTAACCCTTTTCAATTTTCACGGAACTATTAAAGGGGTATAAATAGAATCCTATTCTAATCGCTGCAGACGCATATATTTATACTCGGATGTTTTAATTTAGATTTAATTATTAGGGAAGCCGCCTCACACATCGATTTTGTCCACGAGAAACGTCATATGTTCATTGGGGGGAGGGGGGGGAGGGGGCTTTGCAACTGTGACGTTTCTCTGTAAAGCATCATGGAAAAATTCGATAGTATACTTTTTCGAAAGCCGTAACATTTCGGAATCAAATCATCTTTGCAGAATATAAAAAAGAAAACAACTTAATTGATACAAACGGCCGCCAGTCTATACATTCGTAATACCACACGGTTATACATGCATGTTTTACACATTTATATTATTACGCCTTCCTTGCATTGAAAACACTCAAATTTTAAGAAAAACGCGCTAAAATTGTCAATATTTCCATGCAAAAAAAGTTGTTTTGATAAATCTTGGAATTTTTTAAGTTCATATGTCAAAACATACGTCAGCAGAAGATGACATATTCCTCGCGGAAGCATCGCCAATAGCCGACCGTAGAAAATAATAGAAAATCACCTTATGTTTACTATAGAACAAAATATCGATAAGACGATAACTATATATATATATGTGTGACGTTTCTAAGGGGGTGGGGGTCTCCAGAGAAACGTCCATATGACGTTTCTCATCGACAAAATTGAGTTGTGAGGCTTCCCTAAAACACGAAACTGATTGACATGTGTGGCTTTTGAGTTGGTATTTTTTCAGCATTCAAGTACAATATTTGCATCCTACCCTGTGCAAGTGTTTGGTTTTGAGAAATTCTCGAGCAGGGAATGCAGAAGTATCATCAGAAAATATGTTGAGAATCACCACAACAACCAGTACAATTTTGATGTATTTGGTCTTCACGATGTCCATGTATATAAATATTATTATAGCTATAAAAAGGAAAGGAAAGACAAAATTAGAAATCGGGATTTTTGGTGCCCGAAATACGATTTCTAGCTTATAAAATGAATATATATATATATATATATATATATATATATATATATATATATATATATAGTATATATATATATATATATAGTATATATATATATATATATATATATATATATATATATATACTATATAGTATATACAATATAGTATATACAATATAGTATATACTATATATATATATATATATATATATATATATATATATATATATATATATATATATATATATATATATATATATATATATATATATATATATAAAAACTTCAAGTTAGAAATAAATTTTATTAAATTTCAAATAAATACATAAATACGTTTCGGGGCACAGCCCCTTCGTCAGAAACAAGATAAGTTCAAATCCATGTCCTTAAATACTTTTCGGCCCAATCCTAATTAACATACACTAATAATATATAGACTTGCATTAATATTCCTCCCTCAAATTTAATCCCAGTGGTACATATG